AACCTTTCCTTTGAGGAAGCCATTTGTATTTTCCCGCTTTTGGCATATAAAAATTAGTGTGACGTCATAATGTCGTATATGTGTTTTCAATATACGACCAAATTACGTCATAATGTCGTATATGTGTTTTCAATATTCAATGGTGATGTCTAACTCCAAATTTGGGCAACTACCGAACGGATATGACGATTTCATCCACAGTTCTTAACCAATCAAAACTCTTGAATTACTTTCAATAAATAATAAATAACATTAATCAGTGCACTATGAAAGGTTGATGGTGAACTAAAACACAACAACCTCAGGACAATGTATTCAATAAAATAAGCACGATCAACATGCAAAGTGTCAATGGGTATCCATTTCCTCAAAACTGGGAATGCTTACATACTAGGGAATGTCATATGAATGTTAGGTTATGTTGTTAAGAAGGCAAGTAAGAGAATCTATTTCGTTAGGGCCTGTAGGAAAGCAAATCTCCCAAGCAATATAGGGCTAACAACCTAGTGCACAAAGATAAGACCCATATGGAATATGCGGCACCAATCTGAGCTGGTTTACCATATATATTACCCAAAGGAGGATATCGAAAGAGTACAAAATCGCTGTCTAGATATCATTGACTTACCGAGAAATAAAATTGAGTCGCTTGCGTTAACAAGTAAAGAATATGATAATATACTAAATTCAGAAAATCGCCCATGTAAAAGATTGATTTGTAGAACTGACGCACATGAATATAATTTAAGGACAAGTTGTGACCCACTTTTGGCACCTGTTTTGGCTTTGTTGTGTCTTTAACAAAAACTCAGACGGTAGGTTCGTCTTCGTCTAGCCTGATTCGCCCACTTCATACGACCTCTACGTTGATGTAGACACCCGGATGGCTAGGATCAAAATTGTTGCGCAATGACTTATACATCTCTATGATAGCATATCCTTCGGGAATGTTACGGACAGTCTGTGCTCCCAAGGTGTAGTTTTGCCATTCCGGGATAGTTGCATCCAACCAGGTAATATCTTGATGATGCATAGGTTGTCTTCTTCTCGGCTTGATGCCAGAGACTGGTGTGGGCTCATCACCAGTACTGTTTGTTCTCTTTAGTTTGGATGGCAAAGAGATAAACATGGCAGTCGCCAAATAGGTCTCCAAGAACTTGCTTGTCGGCGGGTGTGTCAGGCTTGTTATCAACCAACAAATATTCAAACGGTTTTTCGGTCTCTTTGCAATAGGCGTTCATAAAGTGGACTCTATTCTTATCAAACATGCGTTCTCCAACAATTCCAATTTGTTTCATATCACTAGAACTTCGGAAGAGAGCGAGATATTGGGCATTCCGGCTAACATCTGTATTAAATTTCCCCTTAGAAAACATGTTCTGAAGCAAAAGGATAATATTAGCCTTTCTATGACGCCCTTGGTAAATAATCTAGATACCACAGGACTGTCTGTCGCTTCGGCCATCAGATCATCCAGTATGATTATGTTGTTGTACTGTGTATTATTCTCACTCAGATCATCGGACAACTTGGACAAACCTCTCTCAAACCGGATGCTTTTCCCAATGGATTTTTTCAAGTCATTGTAACGATCTTGCCATTGATTGTAGCACCGAAGAATGCAAATATTTCTTTGCTCCTCGTAGACGATACGATTGTTTTCCAAAATTTGTTGGACGAAGTAAAGCCTTTCCACTTTGACTCGGAACCACAACCAATAGCGAAAATTTATGGCGGAAGTTGAACTCCAGATAGCGCTTGGTGGTGAAAGATACTGTAGCGTGTACTGGTTTCTTAACTGGCAACGAGTGTGCACTTCGGATTATACGACAACGTTTTTCTCCTTTTGTACGAGGCCTTTCGGAGTTTGTATATGGAGACGGCGGCATCTCTGATAATTCGTACAGCTTATCCTGTTGCTGCGATAAATTGTCATTGTTTTTGTATATAGCGAATTTTACTTTTGGTTGAAGTTTGGCTTCTTGTAGGTACTGTTGTACTGAACTCTTGGATACTTTATTTACCTAAAACAACCCGTTTACAAACTATCTTTTACTCTATATCGAGTCCGTATTCAAAACCACTGTTGTTGTCTTTTACCTTAAATCCCATACACCAAAAGGTGATTTGTCCCGATAACAGTCCGATCGTAATATAAACAAATGTAACACAACATATAACATCTCTCCCCAACTACAATAATAGTCCAACCCCCTTAAGTTTCGTAGTCTTCTAAATAACTTGGCCTCCGTGTTGTCCGTCGTGGTCTTTTTGCCCTTTCTCAGTGCTTTCATCCGGCGTCTCCTGTTGGTCCCCCCTGTTTTCGTTCTACGTCTCTCCGTCACTCTCGTCTGATGCGTCCTGGTCATCTTCGTTATCTGCACGCGTATCGGATGCAATCTTCCGGAAGTACGACGCGTCCCTCGTGATGGTCCACGTGCCGTTTATCTCCCATGCAGTTATTCTCGAGCCTTGAACCTCGGTGATTCTCAGAGGTGTAGGGTTGAATGTCGGCGTCAGCTTGTTGACTTTCGTCTGCAGCTTCACAATAACACTGTCACCTACCCTAAGTTTATGTGGCCGCAGTCCGTTTCTCATCTTGGCTTTGTATCGTTGGTCTCGTATACGGTCTATAACATGGTCGGTTGGTGTCATAAGTGGAAGTACTGTTCTCATTTCTCTTCCGCTCATCCCTGTCTCTCAGGGATTTCCCTTCCAGGGTTGCTGCCTGCAGGGCTTCTTTCATACTCCGATTAAATCGCTCAACTGTTCCGTTTGCTCTGGGCCATTCCGGAGTAATGTGGTGATGGCGGTATCCGCTGCTTTGGGAAAACTGTTCCATCTCTTTTGATTGGAAAGGCGAGCCATTGTCCGACTGGCATACCGCTGGAACACCTTTGTTGGTGAATATCTTCTCCATGGCTGCGATTGTGGTGTTCGCATTAGGTGCGTTTCGGAACCAGGCCATCTCCGACCATCGACTGTAACGATCAATCATGATGAATATATATTCGCCGTTGGGGTAAGGGCCTTGGAAGTCCATTTCCACATACTGCCATGGGCCAATTGGTTGTAGCTCCGACGGTTTGATTGGCTAGTCGTTATTTGGTGGTTGGACAGCTTGGCACGGTAAGCATCTTCGTACCTGGTTTTCGACGGCCTTGTCCATCCCAGGGAACCAGCAGAATGTCCGTAGAAAATGCTTTGCCTTGCTAATTCCTTGATGTGCGCGGTGGCTCAATTCAACAACACGTTTTTGTAGAGCGTTAGGAACGACAACACGTGATCCCCGACAAACCACACCGTTGACCGCACTCAAGTCGTGTTTGATTTCCGGGACCATGTAAGGTTTTAGGTCCTCGTCATTGTCGCTTATTCCCGACTTGATTGCTTTAACAAGTCTCTGGTAGACTTCGCATCTTTCTCCTTCAGCCAGCCCTAATGTCCTCCACCGTCACTGTTCCTTGTTCATTAAGGGCGTGGCAGCACCCGCTCTCAACAACGCTCTCCGCTGCTGTTTCGATCTCAAACACTCGACTTGATCCTGCTCGATCAACATGATGTCGTGACATGTAATTGGCGATGCATGTCTTTCCCGGACGGTAGACGATCTCGTACTCAAACTCTTGCACGTCCATAACAAAGTTATCGACTCTTGGGGGTAGCTCCCCGCATAACTTGTGGAACATATAGGTTAGTGGACGGTGATCGGTAACGATGCGGAATTTTGGTGCACCGAGCAAATACTTTCGTAGCTTCCTGCATGCCCAGCGCACGGCTAGTGCCTCTCGCTCTGTCGCGGAGTATCTGGTTTCAACCTCTTTCTGTGAGCGCGACTTGTACATAACCGGGTGGAAGGCCTCCGTCTTCGATGCTCGCTGGACAAGAACTGCCCCCCTACCCGTGATATTGGCGTCTACAACTAGTTCGGTGTCATGTCCGATTACATAATGGTGTAGTAGTGAAAATTCGCTTAACGAGGCTTGCAACTTGGTGAATGCTTCTTGGCACTTTTCGTCCCACGCCCAGATGTTCTCCTTAAGCTGTTGCCGCAGAGGGTGGACAATACTCGCGAAGTTCGGAATGAAACGTTCACTAAACCCTGCCATCTCGAGGAAGGAGCGCAGCTCCACTTTACTTGTGGGTTAACTTGCATCTTGTAGATTCTTTACATTCTTTGGGTCGGGTTTTATGCCCTGCTTGTTGAACACCAGCCCGACGAATCGCACCTCCTCTACATCAAAGACACACTTATCAGGATTCACGGTGATACCATTACTCGTTAAGGCTGACAGGACTTTTTGCAGGGCTGCATCATGCTCTTCGACTGACCCGCCAATCAAGATATCATCCGCTATGTTCACCTGGCTTGGGATACCGGACAGCATCTTGTGCATCTCCAACTGGAGGATATCTTGGGCAGATTTGGTGCGCATATCGATGCAAAAACGAATGTTGTTGGAATCTGGTTTGGGAGCAATCACCGGAGGGCTGACCCAACTGCGTGGCTGGTTATCTGGAACTCGTTCTATGATGTCTTGGTCCAGGAGGTCTTGGATCTTGATTTCTGCCCGTTCTGAGAGATTGACTGGTATCCGTCTCTGTTTCTGGACTACTGGTGTGACACTGTCATCGATCATCAGGGACACCTCATTCGTTTTGGCTTTGCCGATCTTACCCGTGAACACCTCGGGGTTATCCATAATCATGTCAGCTATCTTTTGGCGCCTAGTCATTGCCAAAACTTTCTTGCAGGGCTCAGACACTCGCTTTACTAGGAACTTCTCATTATACCGGATCAATTGGAGCTGTTTGGCTGACTGTTCGGGAAGTAGTGGATAGGCGGATGGTTCAGATGTCACATATATCTCAGTGTCGACCTTTCCGATCCCCAGCTGTCAGCACTGCCTTGAATGAACTGATGACCGCCAGTGGTGTCTTACCCCCATATGCAAATAGCTTGATGTTTGTCGGTGTCAACTTTACTTCCCCCCGAGTCTTTTCTTTAAAGCTGCGGAAGTGTGCCTCATCCCAGACGTCTTTTGGGTCCCGGTATCCGGTTGCCACAGAACGTCTTGGTCGTTAGTGCGGACTCTCATCAGCGATGGCTTTTCCCTCATCCCAAGATTGTTAACTAATTCGATGTTGGCTGTGTCGTACTCATCAGTGTCGGTGTCGGTTCCGGTGTCAGTTTGGGGTTCTGCTTCGATGCGTTTGATTCCTGCTTCCTTTTGTTTCTTGCAGCACTTGCTTGCATAGTGTCCTTTCTTTTTACAGTAATTGCAGATTCTGGATATGGCTGGGCACTCCGAAGCAGGGAAATGGTTCTCGTGTCCACACCGATTGCACTGATCTGTGGTCCACTTCTGTTGTAACGGTTGATTTTGTTTGGCACCCACCTTGTTGACTACCTGTCGCGAGTCCCTGTCTATTACTTTAATTCGGGCCACAGCATCTTCCTTCTTTCTAGCGATATCTAAGATTTGGTCCAGTGTTCTGTCCTTCTGCAAAAATTTTAGGCGAAGATTGTCATCTTGCATATTTCTGATGATCAGGCTTTTGATCATTTTCTCCGCCGACCAATTTGTAAAATCGCACTTGCTCACTGCTTTACGTAGCCTCATCGCATAACTTGTAATACTTTCTGACGATTCGATTTTCATTCGGAGTAATTCAAAGATAGCAAAGTCGTTGCACTGTTTTGGTGAAAAATGTATTTTCAGTTTGGTTTTGGATTGCTCATACGCGGTCCAGTTTTCTTCCTCTGTGCCTTCTGGTCTGCTTGGTTCTGGCAGAGTGTCGTGCAGGTCTTCCACCTCGGTGCCTGCGTATATTAACAGCGCCATTTTGGCTATTTCTGGTGTTTTACTAGGGTCACATCCGTTATACTTGAGGTCTCTCTCAAATCGTTCGAACCACTTTTCCCATCGTTTCCCCAGGTCTAACCGATTTCCGTGAGGATCGAAGGGTAAAACTTTTAGCTTGGGTCCTTTTGTAGCCGTAGCAGCTGTAGAACTCGTCGCCATTGTTGTACTGAACTCTTGGATACTTTATTTACTTAAAACAACCCGTTTACAAACTATCTTTTACTCTATATCGAGTCCGTATTCAAAACCACTGTTGTTGTCTTTTACCTTAAATCCCATACACCAAAAGGTGATTTGTCCCGATAACAGTCCGATCGTAATAGAAACAAATGTAACACAACATATAACAGGTACTTTCTTCTTTTGTTAATATCTAACAAATGCACATCCGCGAGATAATTCGCCAATCTTACTAGGTATTTTGCACCGCAATCCGGAACAGGGCAGTCGCGACAAACTCGCTTAGCCATGTTTACGGCTCGTAGAACAGATGCAAATGAATTGTTTTCTCCTGATTTTTGGTTTATATCAAAGGCCATCCGGGCAAAAAAGGCCAAACGGGCTATACGGCTCATTTGACAAGCTAAACATCATCAAGATATTACTTGGTCGGATGCAACTATCCCGGATTGGCAAAACTACACCTTGGGAGCACAGGCTGTCTGTAACATTCCCGAAGGATATACTATCATAGAGATGTATAAGTCATCGCGCAACAATTTTGATCCTAGCCATCCGGGTGTCTACATCAACGGAGAAAATTATTGGCCTGTTAAAATAAGGCATCCATCTACAAGTTGTATGAGGTGGGTGAATCTACACGAAGACGAACCTAGCGTCCAAGCTTTTGTTAAAAACACAACAAAGCCAAACAATAAAAAGTAAGAACGGAGAATCAAAAGAACCACGAGAGTACCCTATGTAAAATAGCTATACGTTAATATATACACGCAATGTGTAACTTGAGTTAAATAAAACAAACTGCTGTTCTTTATTTTTCCCGAGCTCAAAGTGTACCTCAAGGACCTCAACAGTAACATAATATACACCCAATGTACACATCATGCGTGGCTACGGTCGCACGCTATGTGAAGCTAAGTACGAACTCTTGGGTGTTCATGATCTTTCCCAATGTTGCCAAAATGTTACAAAGGGGGTTACACGAAATCGCACTGCCACTGATTTTAAGAGCAGAATATTGTTGCCAACGCTACTAAACAGTACGCACGTACGGTTCTGTTCATACTAAATTGTTCGTACAAAACTGTTCGTACGAGGAGAGTCATCGTAAAAGCGTATGTGGAATATTTGAAGAATAAACTTTAAGATGATTAACCATTATACTGACAAGCAGCGAGTTGATTATAAGAATAAACTAATTAAGTTGGCTTTCTTATTGGAAGAAACATTTAAATTGCTGTAATACTATGTGTAACTTGAGTAAAATAAAACAAACAGCTGTTCTTTATTTTTTCACGTGATAATGCGTAGCTATGACATGATTAGAGACATGATTATTCATGCGTACCAACCTTTGCTATTATTAATGCAGCTGAGTACGAACTCCTGGACATACACCAATATGGGAGGTTAAACCTACTAAGGTAGATCGGCAAATAATGCCCTAAGTGTATTTGAAATCTAAGCCAAAGTACAAAAATAATGATATGCCAGTTAATTTCCCAATAATTTCTCGAATCCAAAACAGTAACAAATGAATCAATAGCATAAGGCTATACTGCCTTTTCCTAAGCGGGCTGAAGGCAGGAATTGCTGACACAACCATATTCGGAGCTAAAAAATTACATCGCGCTCATTTCCTCCAGCATACCCACCGACTTTTCCATGAAGCTTAGAATGACTAATAATGATAGTCTCCAAGCCAACGCGGAGCAAGCCCGGGGGGAGGGTACTAATTCCGCACGACAATTTACCCTCGGGGAAAGGAAAGCATTAACGAAGTTTGAGGTTCATCAATAATCGTTGGAGCATGGCTATGGGTGATGATAAACTTTATTTTACAACGCTAACATTGTCAACTAAAGCTGGTTTCCACAATGGGCGTGTAAACAAAAGTATATTTACAAGAAAAGTTAGAGGTAGTAAGAAATGACATGCATATGTGCCAGAAATTATATTATAATAATATACATTAATTTACTATTTACAACCATGCTTTAATAGCGATGAGTAGCGATTTTCCTTTTGAAAATTGATTGCGTTTTGCTTTCTTTAATATTTTCTGGCAAAGAGTTCCATATGAAAGCTCCATCATACATGAAACTCTTTTTCAAACTGTTCGAACGTGGCTGTGGCAACCGTAATGTGGTTGAGCTGTCACGAAGATTATGATTTAATATTTCATTTTTGAAAATAAATAAATCTTTGAGACAATTTCGCCCCATATTATGAAGTATCTTAATCATCGTTTTCGCTTTAGTTTTTAATCGTTGTTCTGTAAATGTTTTCCATCCTAATAAATCCAACACAGTTTTCTGATCAACATCGTTCGGTACACTTGCTATGACGCGAGTTGCTCTGTTTTAAAACTTTTGCAGACGTTTAGATTGGGTTTCGCCAAATACATCCCATACTTCACAACAGTAATTGAAATAGGGAATTAGGTCAAAGCATTGTATACCGATATGAGTGTTTTTTGATCAACGAACTTTTTAATGTTTTTGAGAGCATATATCCCAGATGGCAGATGATATTTTACTACAAATACTAGTACTCTCATTGCTACTTTTCCAATTAGAAAGATTTTCGTCAACAGTAACTCCTAGAGTTTTGCACTGGAAGACCTACTTCATTGGTTTATTTAGAATAGTAATTACTGGCTGGTAATTATAATTTTTTTAAATTAACATATGTTTAGTGCCAATTAATTGAAATTCAGTTTTTGCTACGTTTAAGCTCAGTTTGTTTGCCATAAGCCACTTTCGAAGCATTTCTAAATCCGAATTTACTGCAGTTTTAATATCATTCATGCACCTTCTAGATGCTGTAATATTTGTGTCCAATGCAAACATCCGGGGGTCTAGTTTCATTTACACAAGATGGTAGATCGTTAATATATAGCAGAAAGAATAATGGTCCTAATATGGAGCTTTGGGGCACGCCGCATTTTGAAATATTTTCTTTAGAAGTAGAGTCGTTTATTTCATATTTTTGGGTACGATCGGATAAATATGATTTCAGGAGCTGCATGAAACGCACTGCCCGTAATTCCAAATATATGGTAATAGCTTTTCCAATACGATGTCGTGGTTAACAGTGTCGAAGGCTTTTTGAAGTCTATGAATACAACCAAATTAAACAATTTTCGATCCATGTTTAAATACCAATCATTTGTACAGTCAAGTAAGGCTGACTCATGCAGTCGAGTGAAAGCTTTTGGAAGCCAAACTGATGTTCTGAGGTACATTGTGACGTATACAATTCAAAAAATTTGTTCTCGATGAGGCCTTTTTGATAGCCTTGTTCAAGTGGCCAGCAAGAGTAAGGCTTTTGTCCATGGAAACACCTAAGTATTCGTAAAATGTGGACTCCGTGACATCGACACCGTTCATTTTGATCTCCATAGATTTTGCTTTGGCGTTTTTTGATGCATACCAAACAACACGCACTCGGTCTTTGTCTTCTAGAATTAAATTTACGATCAAATTATTCTCCCTAAGCCAGTTAGCAATCGAAGCGAGATCATCATTCAGTTCTCGTTCAATTTGCTCACATATTTTTGCAGAACTTTAGAGCACAGTGTTGTCTGCGTAAAGAATATGTTCACATTGCTTTAAAACAGTTCCCATATCATTTATCGATATAATGAACAAAAGGGGTCCCAGTATTGAGCCCTGGGGAACACCGCATGGAACATGTTGAGTTTCATGACCGTCATATTGCACGAATTGCTTTCTGTCAAAAAGGTAACACTCCAACCATGGCAGTTTTTTATACCGAATACCGTACAAAGGTAACTTTGATAGTATTCTGGAATGATCCACTGGAAAAACACTGCTCCCGTTATCAGTCCCTTGTCCATGTTTTGTCTAATAGAATCCACCAAGATAGTAACTGCATGTTGCGTTGAAGATCTTTTCCTAAAACCAAATTGTCTCTCTGACAGAAGTTTATTTGCCTCCAAATACGAATAGAGCTGTTTATACACCACTCGCTGAAGCAACTTCGAAAATACTGGCAATACCGATATAGGTCTATAGTTGTCCATCACACATTTCTCTCCAGATTTGTATACAAGTGTTACCTTTGCACATATCTCGCTCGATGGAAACATATATTCTCCCATGCTACGATTAACCAAATACGTCAGTGGGATGGCAATTTCTGACGCACCATCAACAATAGGTGGTATAGGGATCTCATCATAGCCAGATGATTTTTTCTTATTTAGCTTCTTTAGGATGGTTTTAACTTCGTTGTGATTTGTTCCCATAAATGTAAGGGTCGCATCATTTGGATTTAAGCTCTTCTGCATCTCATTATGGCATGGTTCCGGCATATTGGGTTAACTTACTGTGACAGTGATTCCTGTAATGTTTTGCCGATACTGGTGAAAATGAACAAAATTCGTCTGCTATCACTTTCGTTTCGGAAATGTTGTCGCCATTTATTTTAAAAGCTGTCGAAGTATTTTCTCTTCCAGTTTTCGTTGGAAAAATACGTTTTATTTGGTTCCAAAAATCGCTTGGCCTATTAATGTTTTCTCGAACGACAGATCTGGTATAGTTAGCTTTACCGTTTCGAATTATACGAGTTACATTATTTCTCAAGCGGCGATATGTAGACCTGTCAAGCCTTTTTGCCGGACTTTCGGGCTTTTCTTAAGTAGTGATCACGTTCATTCATTTTCGCCTACATTTCGTTGTTTAACCATGGACAATCTCTCTCTCTGACAACCACAAATGGTCGGCTATATGGTTTGGATATTTCAAGGCTTCTAGATCTATTGTGGTATAAGGTCATGTCTTGATCTAGTTTGATCATTTATGGAGCTTCGAAGGTATATACAAACACCTCCACCATTTCGATGTAAAATTATATATTCTGGATATAGTGCAATATTTATAATATAAACATGTAAACAGTTTGAAATTCAGGTTACATACAACTGATACAGTATATTCAGTAACGACTATAAA